GCCCCCTGGGCTCCCCTCATCCCCTCCCTGTGCTGTCTGCACCTTCCTGCCCCTGTGCCTCAAACTGTCCCCTCCACCTGACAGGCCACTCATTTTCTGCAACTTCAAAATCTGCCCATCTTCCTTTCATTCTTTCCCTAAATATCTGTCACATCCCGTCTGGGGACCCCATGCTGGTCTGGCCTCTGAGGAGCCATCGGTGAAGTCAGATGGTGTCTCTGCCCTCATGGGGCTGACGGACAGGTGGGGCAAACAGCAAAGCCGTCGGTGAATCAGTGAAAGAGGCTGTTTGAAGTGGCGGTGGGGCTATAGAGACAGTATTGGGGGGCCTGTGGAGGTGGGGTGAGATGGCACCCTGCTGATAGACAGGGATCAATGTGGGGCAGAGGCAAGTGTGGCTGGAGGGCCAGGCATGAGGGGAGAGGGGAGGAGACAAGCTGATGTGTGCAGGTAGACTGAGGTGTGGAGCTGGCCCTCCCTCTGAGTGCCATGAGGCCTTTAAGCAAAGGAGTTAGATGGGTCCCTCTGCCTATGCCAGGACAGGGCTGTTCAGGCGACAGGTGGTGGAAGACATCGAGGTGCCGCGTGCTTCTGGGATTTCCCCCACCCCTCCTCAGGAGCCCTCCGCCCTTCATCTGCCCCTTTAGGGTGTTTCATGCATTCTGTGCTCTGTCGGTTGACATCTGGGCACAAGCCTCGGGGGACCCATGGATCCCAAGAAGGTCGGTGCCGGTATCTGGCAAGCAGGCTCCCTGGCGGTCCTCCCATTCCTAGAGACGTCGGTGAGCAAGAGGCTGGGCCAGGGGCTTGGTGACAGGTTGCAGGAGGCCTGAGAGAAGACTGCCCAGGAGCTGCTCCTGGTGGGCAGCACATAGCACGAGCCCAGGCAGATTTGTAAAGTGATTTGCTCACCCTGTGGGGGGCAGGGGAAGAGCCCAGGCCTAGGAGTTCCTCTGGCCTGGATCAGAGTGCAAGACTGGCTCTGCCACTGCCTGGCTCTGGAACCTTGGGCCAGCTCTTGAACCTCACTGAGCCTCAGTTTCCTTGTTGGTAAGCTGGCGATTACGTGGGATGAGGAGTTGCAGCGCTGTGCTCAGCCCAGGTGGCATCCTGTCTCCTCGTCTCAGCGTACCATGGAGCTTCAGGGCAGACTCTGTGGTGCAGGTGCGCCCCTTGTAGAGGCCCAGCAGGGGCCCAACTCAGTCTGCCCCTCCCCTCCCCCCAACAGCCTGGCACCCGTCAGTTCCCCAGGCGGGTTTCCTTGTCCCTGGCAGCCCCCGTCGGGGCCTCAGACATGAATTCGCTGAGGTCGCCATGAGCTGTCTGTACACTTGTGCCTTAGCCATCGATTGGCTCGCTCTGTGGCAGGCCTAGGAGATGACGGTTGGGGAGCCTTGCTCTCTGCCGGTGTGCAGCAGCGGGTCTGCAGGAGGCTAATTCACAGTCCTTGTTGGCTTCAGCAGGCCAGTGCTTTCTGCACTCTTCTCAAGGGCTGGGTGTCAGGTCTCTAAGGGCCCTGGGCATCTCCCACAGCCTCCTCCCTGGTCCTCCATGCTCTGCCCAACCTTCCGGGTGAGAAGGGCCCTGTGTGCTGGGGTCATTGGAGAAGCTGCAGGGTGGTGGCAGACACAGAAGCCATAGAGGGATGTGCATTCCTGTCCCCACAGCCTTGGGGGCTGGAACAAGGCACCTGGCTCAGGGAAGCAGGGTCTCCCACTCTCTGCCCTGGCCTCGGCACTACTCTCTTATTTGTCCCCAGCTACTTGGAAGTCTTTGTTGGCTTTATTTTCTCAATGTTCTTATGAAAATGGTGGCCACCATGGAGATGCTTCTTCAAGCCTTGTTTTCCCCATGCCCCGCCCCCACAAACCACTGCTACTTAAAGAGGTCACCCAGACACTTCCCCCAGAAGAGGCTTTAGGGTCATGGCTCTGGGGTAGCTTCTCTGAGGCAGCCTGTGCAGTACAGGTCAAGCCTGTGCCCTGGGTCTCCCAGGGTCACTCAGCTGGAGAAGTTGGCCTGGGGCCAGAGAGGAGGGAAGGGCATCCACAGACTCAGATCCCTGGGTGGCCCCTCGGCCTGTGGTCAGAGCAGGTCCTCCCCTGCCTCGCAGCCTCCTGGCTCCCCACTGGCCTTGCAGGCAGCCACATTTGGGCTCCCCACCGCCTCGGCTGGGGCCTGTCTGCCCTACCTGTCTGGCCTCTTGCCTCAGTGAGTCCTCCAGCCCCGTGCAAACCACAGCTCAGGTGTCACTTCCTCTGGAAGCCTCCTCAGCCTCCTCAGGCTGGACTTGAGGTGGGTCTCCTTTGTGCCTTGCCTCCATGGTCATGGTCAGATGAGCTCACCTGTCATATTTGAAGTGTAGGTAGTGGTCACCTGTCCCATACCCCCTCCTCTCAGGGTCCACTCGTGGCTGATTAGACCGACAGTGGACTCGTGCTTGGGCTGAGCCTCTCAGATCTCCCTCAGGAGAGGCTTTGAACCAAGTGGCACTAAGACCAAGGGGTCATGGCTAAGCACTGACGCAGATCGTGAACCTCTCTCCTGGGCTTCCTGAGCTGCCGCCCTGCCTGCCTGAGGCCTGAGGCTTGACCTTCTCTTAAGATCCCCTGAGTCCCAGGGCACCGAGGAGCCAGCTTGAGCTAACCTGAGTTGGATTTATTCCTTGTAATGAAGTGCGCCCACCCCACCCTGTTTCCCCTCTCTGCGCTCAATTTCTCTTTGGCCGACCCTCCCTCCCCTGGTCTGCTGTGGAGCAGGGGTGTGTGGAAAAGGGCAGGCAGGCACCAGAAAGCCTCGGGCCAGGACTTGTAACTGGCTCAGGAGGCTTCCTCATGGACTGGTCTGGGAGGCGGGCTCCCTGAGCCAGACTGCTGGACACTGCTGGGGCATGTGGATGTGAACTGCAAGTTGAGCGCCCTGGTGCGTTGGAGCTCGAAAGTTGAGGGCTGGGGCTGGATAGTTGCTCTTTTTGAGTGAGGAGTAGAGTAGCCCCTGTGCTCCTGATTACGGGAGCCTGCTCGAGATCTGAGACTCTTTCTGTCCAGGTAGCCCCTTTCTGCCCACTTCTGCCTCTCCCCAGGTTGGGACAAACAGGGGCGCCTTGGCTAGCAGGAAGCCTCGTTGTTCACCCAGAACTGCTGCAGCATCAGTCCCAAGGCCCTGGAAAGGCCTGTGAGTCCTGGAGCAAAAATGTCTTAGCACACTGCAGCTGCCACTCCCTCATAGCCGCTGAGCCTCGGCAAGAGCAGCCCCCCACAGCCCTTGGCACGATTCCTACCCCGACTCCCCTTGCTCTTTCAGTTGGAGTCTATAAGAAAGGCAGTCCCGATCTGCTGCGGATCTCAGCAGGTCAATGTGTTGGACTCTGAGTAAGAAATTAAGCCTCCTGAGTCAGGCTAAAGCAGTCAGCCACACAGAGGACTCTGGACGGCATGTGCCCTCTCATCCAGCTGTGGCTGTCCCTGCTCTCCTGGTGTGCTGCGGCACCCATGGCCGTCTAGCCCCCGGCCTATGTGGAGCCTGCGTAGAGCAGGCCAGGCTGTAGCCCTGCTGGGCAACTTTACAGGGCCTCAGCCTTGGGCCGCTCTCAGAGCCAGGCCATGCCCCTGTAGAAAATGAGCCTTGGAGTCAATGTTAGGCTTAATCTTCCAGGCTTCCCCTAGGAGATGCATCTCTCCCTCGGCCTTCCATGGAAGATCCAGCTTTGTCTGCTGTGACTGTGTCATCTGGGAGATGTGTGCTTGAAACCGCACCTGTCCCTGTCCCAGAGGGATCTTCATTTCTGTGTGCCCTACTGCCACTCGGCTGCAGGGTCCTGCCTGGTGCTGGATGCACAGCAGCCCTCTGGGGCGTGTCCCTCTGTGCAGTGGTGGGAGCAGAGGCTCAGAGGCAGACCAGTGGGAGGCCCCAGCCAACAAGCCAGGGAGCTGGGGTTTGCACTTTTGCCTGAAGTTGCAACAAGGGGAACTATTTCATAAGTTCAGCCTGACTGGTAGTGAGCAGAATGGGAGCAGGTGGGACAGGCTTGCAAGGATGAGAAGTGAGAGGGCGTTCACAGCAATTGGGATGTGAGGTGATGAAGGCCTGTCTCCCTGGAGCAAGGAAGTGAGGGGGAGGGTGGGCATTGTGGAAAAGATGAGGGTCTGGCATTGTGCAGTTCCCAGTTCCAGTCCCAGCTCTGCCCCCTGCTGGCCTCCCGTGTAGGATAGCACTAAGGCGGGGTGAGATACTGCATGCGGGGTGCTTAGCACTGGTCCTGGCCGTGGGAACCACTGTGGTGAAGACCTGAGGGGAAGCTGGCTGGCCAGGCAGCTGGTAGGGAAGGGCTGCTCCCTGGGTCAGTGAGAAGGCCCCAGAGAAGGCCAAGGCAGCCAAGCCCATGCCCAGCCTCTCAACCTGCCTCCCGGCCCCACCTGGGCTAGCAGGCTCTTGTTCCCACCTGCCAGGCCCCAAGGCCTGGGTTCCACCAAGAGGCATCATTGCCCAGAGAGCATTGGCCTGAACACTGTGGACAGAGCTCCCTCTACCCCCAAGCACGTGAGCCGCTAGCATTCTGCAGGGCCTCCCTTCTACCAAGCCTGAGGCCACTGTGTCACTGGCTGTGATAAGGAGCACTGCTGATGTCCCGACAAGTCATGGCTGACCGTTTGGGCCAGTGGAGGTCCCCCTGACAAAAGACAGGGCACTGGGTCCATGCAGCAGCTTTGCAAGCTTGGTCAGGGTAAGGGGTCCCTGTTTGTGCCCTCTTCAGGCAGTCTGAGGCCACGCTTTCCTGTCAGCTGTGCTAGGTGAGAAATCAGTTCTGGAAATGTACCCCACAGCCCGGTGATCAGAGCCGGCTGCCAGAGCTGCCCAGAGCTGCAGGATGGATGTCTGCAGGAGCTACTGCTCATCACCGTTTTGCCACTGCAGCCAGGAAGGAGGGGACTGCCTCCCTTCCCCGTGGGTGCCGTGAGCTGCCCACACACTCACTTCCAACCTACTTCTTGTTTCCCCAGAACCTCCAGTGGGCCCGCGACGTGTTGCTAGGCAGCAGTATCCCTTGGCAACAGCTGCAGCACATGCCGGCACAGGGGCTCTTCTGCGAGAGGAACAAGACCAATTTCTTCAACGTGAGTACTTTGCCTTGTTGATTTCTGAGGCTGCTTGCCGCCACTGCTTTTCACTGAAGGCGTGCGATGTGCGCATGGACCCCCTGGGTGGGCGTTCCCAGGACCACGGGTTTGCAGCATCCCCACAGGGCAAGCATGGTGGCGCAGTTGAGTGTGCGCCAGACTTGGGGATCGGGCCATGCTTGCCAAGTGACTTCTGGCAAGTCGCTGCCCTCTTTGGGCACCAGTTTGCCCATCTGTGGGGAGAGGCATGGACAAGCTCAGTGCATTCTGTGGAGCCCCAGGTATTGTGGGGCCACAGCAGGCAGTGGTGAGGGGCTCTGGGTCCACAACCCCGCTTTCCCTGGAGTGGCTCTGCATGCTGGTCTTGGGTACCTGGAGATTCTGATCGGAGCTGGATCTACTGCTTAAAAAGCAAATTTGGCCACTGCTGGGCTTGAGGTGCTCTTCTAGCCCTGACATTCCATGCCGGGTGGAAACCCACTGCTTGAGCAGGACATGGCCCATCACCAAGGCCCATCTGCCTCCTGTCCCTGAGGCCCTCAAGGGCCCACATCTGTCCCTCCTGGCCCCTCCGCCCATGCCCAGGCCTCCCTCATTCACTCTGCCCTGTACAGAGACAGCTGCTGCTCACTCCACTCCACCTCCAAGTCCTCACCCATCCTCTGCCACCCCTCCCAGCATGGCCGGCTCACAGCTAGCTGGCTTCAGCAAGTCACACAGACCCTCTGAGCTTTGATTTCTTCTGTATTTTCTCTGATTCCCTGTACGTGTAGGGAAACTGAAGGGCAGGATTGGCCTGGACAGGAGCCAAGGAGGGCAGGTCTTGGGTCTGGAGGAGTGTGGCAGAGGCTGGTTCTTGAGGCACGTGGGCAGGGTGAGGTCCCCAGAGAGAGCCGGCCAGGTGGCAGGGTGACTGGACCCATAGTTCTTCTCCTCTCCCAGGCTGTGACCTTCTGGGGACCAAGCAGGGGTTCTGGATCCTGGGTATTTCTCTGTGGGTATTTCATGGACAAGTAGGAGATGTAATCTGTAATGAGTCTGCATGATACCAAGGGGTTTGCATTGAAAGAGAAGCTCCCAGACACCCACTTACCTGTAGCAGCTGCTGTTCCTCATCCTGCATGTGTCCTTCCAGAGGGTTTCTGCCCATTGAAAAGTCAGCACACAAAAGTCAGTACCCAAAGGACAAAGGACACATGGTTCTGCCCCTTGTTTTTTTTTTTTTTACGTAAGAGTATATCTTAGAGAATGTTTTAGGACTTGCTTGTTCTTTTTAATAGCTGCATAGTACTCCCAACATATGGATGTGTTACAATTTTCATACCCATCCCCTATTGATGGGCATTTAGATTGTTTCCAGTCTTTTGTTATTACAAACAACACTCTGTAAATACATCTTTGCACATATGTGGGAATCCATTCATAGGGTGAGATCCTAGAGACAATTCCCAGGTCAAAGGGTTTGTGATGCCTTTAAAGGTTTAGTAGATACTACCCTCCAAAGATCAGCCCACACTCCCAACCTCAGCCCTTATTTTTTCAGACCTCATCAGCACTCTGTATTATTGAGCTGTTTCATCTTTGCTTTTCAGTAGGTGAAAAATGTCATTGTGTTTCATTCCTTATGAGTGAGATTGATCATGACATCAGGTTAGCAGTTTTAATTTCTTCTTCTGTGCAGTTTCTATACTCATGTTCATTTTCCTATTTGATTATTGGTTCCTTTCTTATTGATTTATAAGAACTCTTTGTATATTAATGAAATGGGCCCTTTCTTAGTGCTTTGCAAACCTTTTTTTTGACGTTGCTAAATCAAAGTTAGAGCCAGGCAAGCAGCTTAGTTTCCCTGAGCTCCTGGGCTACTTTTCTTGTAAAACGGGCTCCTATTACCTGCCTTGAAGAGTAATTGTAGGGATCAAGTTAGATAATGGGGTAATGTCCCTAACTCGGGATCTGGCATATGATAGGAGCTCAGGAAGACAGTTTCCCTCCCAATCCCCTCTGCCAGTGTTGGTGCTTTTCCCTTACAGACCGTGCAGTGATGCTGGCAGGAGAGACCCAGCCCCCTGTTCTTTCCCTGGGGGAAGCACCCAGCCTTCCTAGTGAGGAAGTTTAGGAGACTGGCAGCCCAGATGTCTGCTCCCCGCTGAGTACATCCAAGCTGTTGGCTGGGTGCTCCAGGCCCCTTCCTCGCTGGGCTTCCTCCCTGCAGCTCTTCCTGTGGTTTCCGGGACCTTCCAGAAAATGACCTGCAGAAAGGCAGTCAGGCTGTACATGTGGGAGGAAAGCCGCAGAGCCCTGGGTGGGCCTGGCACATGGGCACTGCCTCCCTGAAGCCGGAGGCCCTGCAGATACCGGCCACCCCAGGCTGGACAGGATGTTTTGGGTGGTTCTGCCTCTTCTGGGGCAGCTGTTTGTCCATCGGTGCTTCCCAGTGACCCCCTGCTTTTATCATCCTCAGGGCCCTCTCCCAGCCCACGTCCTGGCCACCTCTGCTTTCTCAGCTTCTGTCTTTGGAGATGGGTTGGGGCTTCTGATGCTCCTTGAGCCCAAAAGGTTAACCTCTAGGCAGAGGACAGACACACTCACACCCCCATTTACAAAATACCCAAGGGACAGATGTCCCCAGCTGGTTGGTGACAGCATGGCCGTTGCCGAGCCCACCCCTCCCTGTCCTCCCCGCTGCTGCAGGTGGACCCTCAGGGTGGACACCTCCTCCGGCCGTGCCTTGCACTCAGCGCATCAGGAAGTGCTGACCTGCATGCTCTCAACACGTGAGCCTGTCCCCCCGATTCTACCAAGTGTGTGGAGATCACTTCCTCCAATGTGTGTGGAGGAGCATTTAGGGCAGCCTTGGCTGACGGCTGGGATGGGGCTGTGTCTCTAATGGCACGGGCTGTCCTATCTCTGACAGATTGCCATGAGCAGGCTGGCACTTCTCCCTTCTGGTGTGCACTGGGGTTTACTGCCTTGGCCTGGGAGTAGTGGGACTGGCCCTTGTGAGGAGGTACAGGGAGGGCGAGGGCAGGGTCATCAGGCACCCTGACTGCCATCCCTCTAAGCCCCCACTCTCTTGGGCCACCCACCCTTCGTGTCACTCATGGAGCTGTTGGGGCAGCGCCACTCATCCTCAGGGCCTGGGCTATGGAACCCTTCTATTATTTTTAACATAGGTTACATAGGACCACAATGTCACTGCAGACAGTCCAGATACAAAGCAGAGCCCAGACCCCTGGTTTGTCCCCACCAGGTGCCGTGCCCTTCTCAGAGGTACTTCTCTGAGCAGACAGGCTGTTCTCTTTCCTCAGGTGTGTGTGTACAAAATCAGACAAGTTTGCCATGCAGCTTTAAGGTGTGTGTGTGGGGGGGTGCTTCTCCACACCTTGCTTTTTTCACTGACACTAGGCCTTGGAGAAGTTTCCCCATAAGAAGTGCTCTTTGCAGCTGCTCCCAGTATTGTGTCGTGCACAGGGCCACAGTCTCCTCAGGTGGGCGTGAACATGGGGCCCATCTTTGTGCTCACAAGTGGGCTGTGGTGGGCCCCCCTGTGTGTGCGTCTCTTTGCTGTTGCCTGTTCCTCTTAAAGTCCCTGGCCTGTCCCAGCCTGGTCCAGAGGAGGTGCTCACTGAGTATTTGGGGATGATTTCCATTCATGTCTTCTCCCTTAACAGATGGGCTCCCAGCACGTTCTCTTGGTCGTGGGGCCCCTGTCACAGGACACTCGAAGGCTTGCAGTAGAGCCCCACACACACGTCCCTTTGTGGGAGAGACGGGGAACCCTCAAAGAGCCCAGGTGGGCTGGAAGCGGGGCCCCCACAGGTGCAGTGGGTGCAGCTCAGCCAGGAAGAGGGCAGGAGAGGGAGGCCAGAGTTGGAGGCACCCTCGGGGGAGCTCATCAAGGCTGGACCATGCCTGAGGCAGTGCAGGCTGAGCCTTCCTGGGGAGCATGACGGATGGGTGCTGAAGGGCATGTGAGTGTGACCTGGAGCTCTGGTCAGCTTTCTTTCTTTCTTTCTTTTTTGGTGTGGAAGATTGGCCCTGAGCTAATATCTGTGCTTGTCTTTCTCTATTTCGTATGTGGGATGCCTGCCACAGCATGGCTGGATAAGCGGTTCGTAGGTCCATGCCTGGGATCCAAACCTGCGAACCCTGGGCCGCCGAAGTGGAGCTCGCAAACTCAACCACTATGCCACTGGGCAAGACCCTGGTCAGCTTTCTTGACAGGACCTCCTTGCACATGGGGCCTACCCCACAGCTGGCTGGAGCCCTGCAGTGGAAGATGCATGGCGTGTAGCAGGGCCCAGCGGTGTGATTGGGCGAGCATTTGAGAGAGAGAGAAGTGAACTTGGTGCATCTCCAGTCCACCGTTGCACAACTTGACTGAGAGGGAACAGCTCCCAGCCCGCCCCTTTCCTCTGTGGAAAATCCCTGCGTGTGGGCTGTCTGCCAAGCAGGTCGGAGCTCTGGGCCGTTGCTCATGCTCCAGGGCAGGCTGGAGTCCCCGCTGAATGCCCCATTACCCCAGCCCTCTCGCACCAGACAGAAGCCTGGTCTTTGCCATGACACAGCTGGAGTTGTTAGGTGTTGTTGGTTGGGGTCCTGTGGCCCTCCCTGCCCTGGTAGGGCCTGGCCCGGGCCCTGGTGCCTGTCCTTTCAGAGCATTGGGGGGGACTGGCAGAAGGCATGTGGCCAGGCCAGTCAGGGGCAGCTCCTCAAGCTGACTGTGCAGAGCTGGGGGCCCAGGGCAGACATGGAGGCTTGGGGTGGGAGGCAGTGAGGCCAGGGTTCGGCCAAGGGGTGTAGGAGCCCTCCTGAGCTAGTACCATCCCCAAGGGGGCTGCAGAGAGAGGGAGCCAGGGAGCTATCCCTCCCTGGGCATAGGGGGCCAGAAAAGCAGGCACTGAGCACACCTTGGAAGCCAAGGGCTCTTCTCCACATGCCCAGAAGCTTCCACAGCTTCCTGTGCAGGTGTGTGCACCTCTGGGCAGGTGGGCTTG